TTCTTAACTATTGCAAAAAATTGCTGTGTCATTTTAATCTGTAGAATCAGTATGTAGCAGTAAAAATATAATCATTAATGTCTTACTTTTCATATATACCAAATATTTTTCAAAGAAGTAGTTTATTATTAGACACATCATTCTTAGCATTATACCCATTTTATAGCAAGAGTGACTGTGGTATAAAGAGATTAAGCGATCAGCAGGAGGCCGTTAAACAGAACCAAGAATTATCTGATCCACGTTGCCTTTATTTGAGAGGTTCATATAACAATCATACAGTGTTAATTCTATTTCACTTAGATTTTTCAGTGTAGCATGTTGAAGTTTTAAGTGTTAAGAACAATACTATCTGAGCAAGACATGGACCTTGGGCCTTCATGTGGATTTCAGAAAAATAGAGTCTTATTGGTAGATGTTAGAAAAGTTAATCCTGGGCTTGTTGTAGGAATCACAGCAAAGCAAAAGAGGAAAAGTCAATCTGAAATGTTTTTCCTTTTCCAAGGAGGGCAGCTAAGATGCCCAGATATCTTTGCCCTCCGGGGGTGCAGGTGTGCAATTTTTATTCTTTAATCATTCACATAAATTAAAGCCTATTCCTTTGCATTTAAAAAATAATATAAAACGACACTCTCCGTGTTTTATTGCCAGGCAAGAGCTTTGAACTTCTGTCTCATTGAAGTTTGATAAACTGCAAGGATTTTCCAGGGTTGGGTGGTGCACTTAACCACAGAGGGAACATTGGACTGATAAGAGCTGCAGGTGAAAGAAACCACCAGAGAGTAGCAGTTAGAGAGAGCTCCTCGCACTTGGCTTGTGAGAAATTCTCTGCAGGGAGAAACTTTTCCTTGCGCTTTCTGGCTCTTCTTAGCTGCTTCCCTCCACCCACACAATAAAAGGGCACCAGGGCTTTCTGTTTCCGCATTGTGAATGAGGAATAGGTGGGGTGAATACTTTGTGGTGGAGTGATTCTTTATAAAAAAAACTTTGAAATTTGATGACAAATTCTAACTTCACACAAATGCTGATTGGCATGCACACCTATGCATTTGGGGACAGAATGTGCCCGCACACGCACACCTGTACACACACGTTCACACAGACACAATGGACCACATTTCTCAGATGATTTTACTATCAACATACGTCCCTGCCTTTGTGCTGTATATAAAATAAAGGTCATATTTACGGGAAAACTCACTATACAAAGTGTTAACGATAAGGGAGTGTGGTATTGTGGTAAGAGCATGGGTTCTTGGTTTGAGTCTTGGCTTTTCTTCTCACTAGGGTTAGCTGTGTGATCTTGAGCAAGCTACTTTAATTCTATAAATCTTAGTTCTCTCATTTGTAAAGTGGAAAATGATATCTCATATGCAAAATACATATGTATCATAGGATTGTGGCAAATACATAATATAATTCATGTTAAGACAATGAGTACACTCAGTGCACCATGTTCCAAATTGGCATCATTTATTGTTACCATTATTATGTGTAATATTAAACTCTATAAACATCAGATTGGTAGATGAATGTTAAACGGGAATAATCCTTTTTCTTCCTTCCTTCCTTTCTTCCTCCTTGCCCCTGACCTTTTTTGGTGCATTTTCCAGAAAATTTCTCTTTCCCAACCCCAGGAGGACAAAAGTACTTTGATTCTAATTGCTCTGAAAATGTTTCATCCTTAAAGGGCTTTCACATTGACATTTAGTCCCTGAAGTCAGGAAGGGGAAGCATCAGGATTAGCAACTAAGGAGAGCTCTTTCACTTCTACCATCAAATAAAAAAACCCAAAACACCCTCATCCTATACTACTAGGTTTAGGTAGATCTAAGTCAAAGAAAGTCCATCTAGTCCAAGGAAGAAATGTAAGACCAGGAGATAAGTGGGTGGAAAATGGTAGGAGAATACAGAGATGGCAGTGTTCTGATTTTAATGTGACTTTGGCCATTTTTTCCCAATTTAATATATATTAAGGTGTAAAACAGTTAATGCCAGAAATTGGCATGTGTTATCTCTCAACTTCTCTCTCAATTGCAGAGTGATAGTTTTGGCCATTTCTTAGAGAAATAGTTCTCCAGTTGGAAGAACTGTTGCTGAAGCACTAATTTTATTTTCACCTCTTTTTGGGGGTAGAGGCTAGAGAATGTTTGCAGTACACTGATAGTTGTTTGATAGTGCACTTTGGGAAGCACTCATATTGACAAAATAAGTCACAGAATATAAACATGTCAGTCATCTGAATTTTAGGCCCATGCAAATGTGGCAAAACCTTAGGTTACCATTGTCAAATGAAGACTGTCCTGAGTACAGCGTGGGCAGATAAAGTTATTTGGTTTTTAAGACTGCCAAGACTTCAGGAATGGTTTTTTGAAGTATCTGGTGTTTTTTTAGGGTGGGGGAGGGGTTTAGGGAGAGGGAGAGGGATAATCCAAAGCATGTTCCACGCCCAGCACAAAGCCTGACACAGGGCTCGTTCTCACAACCCTGACACAGGGCTTGATCATGACCTGAGCCAACATCAAGAGTTGGATGCTTAATCAACTGAGCCACTCAGGTGCCCCTTGAAGTGCCTATTTTTATAAATTTTAGATAATTCCTCCATATTTTCCTGAGGGACAAAACTATAAAAGAGACAAATGTCCATCTTAGTAACAACTTCGTGGAATTGCTTTTTGACAAGGTATTCATTACTTTGAGGATTTTTTTTTTTTTGTTCTCACTGCTCCAGAAGAAAGGGTTTTTTTTTTTTTTTAAGATTTTATTTATTTGAGAGAGTGAGCAAGGGAGAGAGACAAGAGACAGAGAGAGAGAACAAGCTGGGGGATAGGCAGAGGGAGAGAGAGAGAAGCAGACTCTCCACTGAGCAGGAACCCGATGCAGGGCTTGATCCCAGGACCCTAAGATCATGACCTGAGCTGAAAGCAGATGCTTAACCAACTGAACCACCCAGGTGCCCCCAGAAGGAAGGGGCTTTTTAAAATTTGTTTATTTTTAATTTTTTTGGATGGTAAGTGGAAATACTGAATTGGAAGTTTCTATGTAAACTGTGCCAGGATACCCTTGTTGTACCTAAAGACAAAATTCAGGGAACAGGAACAAGCATTTGTTGAGCACCTGTTGTAATGGAAGCTCTAACTTATGTTGTTTACTAAAGTAAACCCCACCAGTAGACCTTGAGATAGGCTCTTAAGAATTTATATTATCAAGGAAACCAGGGACTATAGTACTTTACGTGTGTTATATTATTCAACTGTCATAACCCTATGATGTAGAGCTAATATTATTATTATGAATAGTAATAGTATTATTAACCACATTTTACAGTGAGGAAATAGGCTTGGAGAGTCATTTGCTCAAAGTCACACAGCTAGGAATTGTTAGGGCTGAGAATGGAACTATGGTCTATCTGAACTCCAAAGCCCAAGGTCTAAACCAGTGATTCTTAAACATTCAGGTACATAAGAAGCATCAAGGGTACTTGTTTAAAATTACTGGGCTCCATGAAAAGTACAGTATAGGAAATATAGTCAATAATATTGCAGTAACATTGTATGGTGACAAATGGTGACTATACTTATTGTGGTGAACATTGAATAGTAGGTAGAATTGTCAAAGCACTGATTTGAAACAAATATAACTGTATACTGGTGTACAATGTTATATTTAAAAGTTTCTTTAAAAAGCCTTTTTTTTTTTTTTTTTTAAGAATGACTGGGCTCCAGGTAGAAATTTAAGGTCACTAAATCTGGGATATTGTCAGATCACAAATCTGTATTTTAACAGGGTACCCTGGGTGATTTAAACCAAGAAGTTGATTGACCATATTTTGAGAAAGAGCTAAATAGTATTTCTTTCCATACCTGATAAAGAAGAAAACAGGTGTAGTTTAAACAATTAAGATTAAGCTACCAAAGACAGAGCCATGAATCAAACCCAAGCCTGTCTTTTTTTTTAATTAATTTTTTTAAATTTTTATTTATTTATGATAGTCACAGAGAGAGAGAGAGAGAGAGGCAGAGACACAGGTAGAGGGAGAAGCAGGCTCCATGCACCGGGAGCCCGATGTGGGATTCGATCCCGGGTCTCCAGGATCGCGCCCTGGGCCAAAGGCAGGCGCCAAACCGCTGCGCCACCCAGGGATCCCTGTCTTTTTTTTAAAGATAGATTTATTTATTTAGTCATTCATTCATTCATTCATTCATGAAAGAGAGACAGGCTCCATGCAGGGAGCCTGATGTGGGACTTGATTCTGGGACTCCAGGATCACTCACTGGGCTGAAGGCAGGTGCTCAACCACTGAGCCACCCAGGCGTCCCTTAGTCTGTCTAATTCTAATACACCCTTTATTACAAACCCATGATTAATTCACACATTTTCCAGTCACAACAAATACAGAAAACATGCTTTCTGGTAAATTGAGCCACACAGATTTCATAGTCCTAAGGCTAATAACTTATATTACCATTAGTGACATTTTCATTAAATTCCCTTTAATTTCTTCAGGGACTTTTCGTATAAGGAATTGGGTTTTCCTTAGAAGCAGATCATCCACACTTCAGGCATGGCACCACTACTCACTGGATTAAGTTTCTGAGACATGGATAAGTGGAAGAGGGTAAAAGAAGGTAGAAAGAAAAGAATTCCCAGGTATATCTAAATGGTGCTAAATGTAGCTAAATGGTGCTAAATGTAGCTAAATGGTGCCAAAGCTCCTCATCCTCATTACCGTCACCCTCATCACTGAAATGAAGAGTGAGGGGTTGATAGTAGTACTAATAGCCAATCATATGGTGATAGGTCATGTTCTACATTGTCTCCTACTCTACCCTTTGAGACCATAGCTCAATTAGGGCCAGCAAGTTTACTCTGCCTGTTCTAGTCCACATCCTAGGGCAGAACCAAAATTTTGATAGATCTTCATGGCTTCCTACTGGGACTGGGAAGACTTTTATCTTCGTCTCTCACTTTGTCTTTCTGTCTTGATTTTTTCTTTTCAGCCCAGCGACATGTCCTCACATACATGGAGGATGCAGTGTGTCAGCTGCTAGAGAATAAGGAAGATATTAGCCAATATGGCATTGCCAGGTTCTTCACTGAATAGTAAGTACCTGAGTGTTTTGCCAATAGGGCGAGCCCAGAGGAGGCGCTTGGAAGCAGGCAAGGTACATGAAGAATAGAGCAGAGTATTGCTGATTATGTAGTGGCAGTGAATGCTCAGTTTTGGTAGGTTGGTTGAGGGCTGCCCAAACATGTTTTGGGACATGCCTTTGGTGCAGCTTGTTTTGTCCAGTGATAAGTCTCATGAGTGGCCATGATGATAATAGCTCAAGAACTAATTGATCTGTTAGATTTATTTCTTTAGATTCCTCCTATAATTTTTAACTTCCTCCATTATTCAGAATACTTACTCTGCCTGTAGTCAGTGTTCCTTTAGTCTGTGTGTTTCATAACTGGCTTTTCTTATGGAAATGCTTAGGATGATTTCCTTCTACAGTTTTCTTTCTACAGGATGCTATGTCAATTGGCTAATGATTTTAGAGTATTACAGAGGCAGAATAGGTTTCACATTGTGTTTTTTTGTAAAGCTTGCTTGGAATGTGTAAAAGTCAAAATAATGACGACTTTTTTAATATCACAGAATTGTTCTTAGGTTGAAAGAGAATCTGTTCTAAACACCTTGGTCTTCATGAAAGGGTTTGCTAAAGAAATACAGAATGTTATTTGTATTTCCATAATGCCATCACTATTTGTATAATCATTTGGATTCTCCTTTTTTTATGGTTTATTGGGAGTATTCTATGGAAGGAAGAATAGCTTCTAACAGGTTTCTTTAAAAAAATATTTATTTGAAAGTGAGGCAGCATGTAAGAAAGCAGAGAAAGAGGGAGAGACAGACTCCCCTCTGAGCAGGGAGCCCAACATGGGGCTCCATCCCAGGACTCTGGACTCATGACCTGAGCCAAAGGCAGACACTTCACCAACTGAGCTACCCAGGTGCCCTATTAGTTTTCTATTTAAGGGGAATCATGAGCTCAGGTCTGTCTTTAAAACATATTTATATTTTCCTTTCCTCCACAGCTTCCTTGAAGATCAGACAGCTGTTCTAATGGCCTAAACTTGGGTTGCTGTTAGGGGGATTCTTGATTCTCCCTAGCTTTTTTTGTCAAGCTATGGGTCTTGCAAATAAAAGCTAGATTTTTATGGATTGGAATTTCAGGTCCCTGGGAAAAACAGGCTCTCCAGTAGTAGAGCCTGTCCCTTTTCCCAGTCCTTTAAAGGAAGATCAGGAAAGGAATCTTACTTGTTCTCATGGTGTGGGCTGAAGCAAATGAGGTGGGCAGGGAATAAGACCAAGATTGAATAGCCTTGCTTGCTCTTACAGAACTGACAAGCCTAAGGGTCAAGTTTCTAGGCCATTTAATCTGTACCAGCACTCTTGAGGCTCCTTGCCAAGTGAAATATGATTCTTCTGGGGGCAATACTTCTTCCTGTTTTTTTTTTTTTTCATTTTAGTCTGCTTCCTCCACCCTTCATCTCCTTTATAAGTCTTTCCTATCACAGTGGTTCCTTGTGGACAGGTATCATTGCCTCTTCATCTTTGTGTTCTAGTGCCTGGCACAATGTTTTGCACATAATGGGTGTTAAGTGAATGTTTGTTGAATATAAAGCTCTATCTATATTTTAAGTTATTGTACACAATTTACTCTTATTTTTGAAGAAGCTGTATGTTATGTATGTAGCACCTCAAAAGTGAACCCAACTGGTCTAAATAACTGATATTGAACTCTACAGAGCCAATAGTAAATCTTATAACTGTTCCCAAATGCTATTAACTGTAGCTTTTATCCACCAATACACTATTGAAAAAAAATCTTAAGATTTTTTCCATAGTGCTGATAGAAATCTAGTTGCCAAGTGAGCTGTTTCTTATCCTCAGGAAACTAAAAATTACACAATGTCTGTGAGTGGCACATACCTGACACTACTCAGAAACCATATTGGCCCAAGGCAAGTTATTTTGAGAAGTGAACTAGCATCAAATCTCCAGAATCTTAAAACGAACAACAACAAAAGACTCAAAAGGTGTGGATATATGATGAAATTAAAAGTAGTATTTGGTAGACAAGGAGACCTGAGTGGTAGAAGCTCCTGATTTTCTTTGATTATGAATTCTGTTTATCTAGCGAAAATACTTCCTTCTCAGGCTTCAGTTTTGTGTTGATTCATAGCAGTATAATGACACTGCCCTAGGAAGAAGAGTTCCTTATTTATAAAAGTTCTGGCTCTATAATCTTGGGCAATTTCTAAAATTTTCTGGGCTTCAGTTACCCAGTTATGACACAGATATAAAGTCTTAAATTCTAATAATAATAACAATGTAACAGTTATACATCATAATGAGCAATTTTCTTTTAAAAAATATTTTATTTATTCATGAGAGCCACAGAGAGAGGCAAAGACATAGGCAGAGGGAGAAGCAAGCTTGCTGCAAGGAGCCTGATGCAGGACTTGATCCCCGGACCCTGGGATCACTCCCTGAGCCAAAGCAGACACCTAACCTCTGAGCTACTCAGGTGCCCCATATAATGAGCAGTTTTCAATTAAACTCATAGTATGTCTCAGCCACTATAATTCTTTGAAGTAGGTAGTATTATTATCTCTATTTTATAGATGAAGAAACTGAGAGAGATTAAAATAGCTTCTTTAGATTCACAGGCTAATAAGTGATATAATTGGGAATCAAGTCTCTGCAATATTTCAAAGCCACTATTCTCTCTTGCCCATAAGGCTCTATACTGACTAACATCATTGGAGACCTAACCAGATCATATTTTGAGATCTCTTCTAGTTATAATTTCTAAATTCTTTGAAATTTCCTTTATGAACTCTACTCCACAAAGTTTACCACTTAACCTTCTCTGGTGACTTATTAGTTCATTGCCATTTAAATGTTTAGTATTGGCCTTTTTAGGGGATACAATTGGAACCATCTCTAAACAATAGGAGACATGATATTTTAGAAAATATGTTAATGGGGGACATGGGTGGCTCAGTTGGTTGTGTTGGACTCTTGATTTTGGCTTAGGTCATGATCTCAGGGTCGTAGGATCAAGTCCTGCACCAGGCTCTGTGCTTAGGATGGAGTCGGTTTGAGATCCTCTCTTTCCCTCTCTTTCTCCCTCTGCCCCTCCCCCCTCAATAAATAAATGAAATCTTAAAAATATATATGTTAACGGTATACTTCCATCTCTCAGTTTCAAGTTCATACCTTGGGATTTTCAAACATTTAGTGGTGGACAATTTACCTATAAATAGTGACGAAAGTACTCTTTCAAATTGTTTTTGGAAGACTTTCTTGCTGATTTTTTCCTCTGGGTCTGCTTGTCCTCTCACCTGTGCTGTCACTCCTTGGTTGTTGGTGTTTTCCAACAAATCCATAATTGTTCCAGTAAATCTGGGTACGCTGCAAAACATGAGTAGCTAAGCTGTACTGTGTGTGTATGTCTGCAAGACTGTGAGCTCTTTAGATCATATTCCTCTGGACACCCTTGAAAGAAGGATACTAAATCCCAGAGGATTTTCTTTTATGTTGTATGCAACCTCTACCTCTGAATGTTGTCTTTCAACCAGTAGAAGGTAAAAGGAATTAATATTTAGAGGTGCCACTCTATGAATAGACCAAGTGTCAGCATGGGGTCAGGACCTCTGAAGAAGTACATCCAAGAAAATGAGGCTAGAGTAGCTGCTGTAACTTAGAAACCACAGCAGAGTGTGACCAGGTTCTTGTGGTAAAGATAAAATGAGAAATGCGGTTTTTTAAGACATTGGAAAATAATGATGAGAGAAAAACAGACTGAAATCTGAGAATTCCTATCAGGATTGGGAATCATTCTTCACAGGCTAAATTGATAGTTACAACACTGTGGCATTAGGAAGCTTGATCTCCACATACTAATAGAGAAATGAATGATACTCTGTGGTCTTAGTTGGTGGGCCCAGGAGGGCTCTTTCTTAAGACCAAGTGTCTTGTTTTTGTTTTGTTTTTAAATGATGATTTTGGCTTCTTGGGGCTGCTTTTGTGATGTCTGTTTTGGTTGCAAGTACACAGATTACCTTCATTGAAAGAGGTTCATTTTAAGGATATGTGAGAATATAAGATAGCACTCACTCATGAATTCATTCAGCAATTAATTTTGAGCACTTACTATGTGCCCATGTATAGTAGGCAGTGGAAATAGAGTAGTGAACAAGACAAACACAGTAATTATGCTTAATGGACGTTAGGGTTTAGTGAGGGAGATAGTCAATAAAGAAGTAAACTGATGGTGAAGACAATAGCTAAAAGCTAATAAATAACTGCTATGTGCTAGGCACTGTTCTAAGCATATAACATGTATTCTATCATTTAATTCTCACAATACTGGGGCACCTCAATGACACAGTCAGTTAATCATTTGACTCTTGATTTCAGCTCAGGTCATGATCTCAGGGTTGTGAGATCAAGCCCCATGTCAGGCTCCATGCTGGGCATGGAACCTGCTTGAAGATCCTCTCTCTCCTTCTCCTTCTGCCACCCCCCGCCCCCATGTGTATGTGTTCTTTCTCTCTCAAAAAAATTAAGAAGTAAATAAAATCTTTAATTTTCACAATACCATGAGGTGGGTTTTATATTCTCTTCATTTTATGCATTATGAAATTCAGACACACAAAAGTAACATTACCAAGGTTACACAGCTGATGACCATAACAAAATAAATAACAAGGAAATAACTAAGGTAATGTGATATACAGGATAGTCAGGAAGGCCTCTGGGAAATGGCATTTGAGGGCTTATCTCATGGTATGACTGGTTCATCCCATCAAAGAGCCAATAAGTTATCTCTGTTTACATGATTCACCCTTTTGTCCACCTTTGCTACCTAAGCTTCCTGTATCCAAAAAAGATAATATGATTGATTTTATTTGCTGCTACCGAGAATGGAATAACTTTAATAGGCAGTGATCAGGGAAAGCCACCTACAAGTAGTTGGTTTCCCTATGCATTGTTCATATATAATAAGTGAAAGTAATAAAATAATTAGACATAAAAATTACTTGTG